ATATATATATATATATATATATAAAGATACAAAGATGAGATTTTGCCTTTATTTTACCCGTAACATAAGGACCTTCATTGGTCTTTATGGATCACTTAGTAGATATATTTAATATTTTAATAATAATTAAAATTTAAATAGTGACCCTACTCTCAAATTGTACTTAACAAAAAAATACATAGGACCTTTATTGGGTGAAAAATGTTTAGCAGAGCCGGAAAACTGGTAGATAAGGGACCAGATCAAGCTTATGAATGGCCTCTCAATCATACAACAAAATTTTCAATCAGAGTGGAGTGAAACTAGTGATTTTTGCTCTACATAAAATCATAAATTATATAACCATAAATCTCCGACCTAGACTGCACGTTTTCACAAATCAAGATCCCCTGCCAAGTTTGCCACCAGAGACGGTACACAGATTAAGCCTTTTTCGAATGTTAATGGCATATGTCGCATCGAGTCAGCAAGGTAAGGAAGCCGCGTATAACACAACCCCTCAATCACACCAATGCAGGTCGAATGAAACCCGAGTTTATTTTAAATTCTGAGAGATAACCTGCAATTAGAAGAGAGATAGAAAACCTTAGTCGTGCTGGAAGCACATCCTGGAAGCACCAGTAAGCACACCCCCACCACGAGAAAAAGAAATAAGAAAATTTTAGAATTATATTATATAATAAAAAAATTATTGTATAGTCCGAATTACATGACATGGGGTGGGACCTTTGATATTGGGGACTATCCCTCAATCCAATGGCCCTGTTTGTAATCTGGAACTCATAATAAAATATGTAGAAAACATTATCAGATTATTCAGACTCATCAGCCGAATTAATTTAGTATTGTCCAAAGTACAATAACAATCAACAGGAAAACTAGAACTGAGGAAATAAATGTATGCTTAATATATATGACCACGTGGCAAAAATAACACAAACAAAAATCTAAATGGATAAACTTATTATAAAAAAAATGATTAGCTTACCTCAGATATCAATGGCTTAGCATGTTCTTCCCACTCAGTATCCCACCTAGCTGAGGCACTCATTTCCAATGCACCATTTCTTAGACACTTTAGAGCATTACATTCATCAGGAAATCCCTTGAAGAGCATCTGCAAAGTAATGTAGGAAACTAAGAACAAATTGCAAAGGGTATCACAAAGTCCTCAAGCAGCATATCTCAACTCAACTACAGTATGAAACTGAATATAAATTATTTGCTATGATCTTAAATCAGAAAACAAATATACAATCAGATTCATGGAAGACAGGCATATAATTCACAGAGAACAAGTTCAAAGCATGCAATATTTTCTCCACCAGCATGCAATTGCTAAGTTAACAGCATATAATTCACTTACCAATCAAGATCAATCACAGAGATCAAGTTCAAAGCATACAATTTTCTTCTACCAGCATTCAAACCAGATATTTTAGAAAAATTGAGGCAGATGCACATCCTCATAATTTTGAGACAACATGAGCCTATCTCTACTGATTTAATTTTTTTCTTTCCCTTAAAAAGGTGAAATAACGGGAAAACTAACACAAGCATATCCCATATAAAGGCAGGACCAACGCTCATTGTTTTCAGTTTAGTCATTTGTGTCTCGAACTGCCCCAACCTCAGACAAAGAATGTTTTCTCAGATATTTATCATCCTAAACAAAGCTCCCAAAATTCCAATGTAATTCGAGATATACCTGCTGTTAAAGAAAAGTAAACCTTGATATGTATTGAATGTCCTAGTTTCCCTGCATCCAATTATCGACAATCAGTTATTATGGTATAATTGGAAGAATTCAGGTTCGAAAAATTGAACATACCCCAAGTGTTATTTGGATTGCATGTGATCCACATCCATTAGTAGATTCTCGGGCCTGCTCTACTTGTGGAATCTTCAATTTGGCACAGTTATAAATGCCCAAGCTCTCAAGAGAAGTGAGGTTTCCAACCACACTGGCAAAGCTTCCAGGCTGTTGAAGTAACATAACCGCAATTACTTGAGGACAGTGAGATGTTGGAGCTGATGCGGCAGAGACTTTAATTTATCCCATCCATCCAATTGCATGAATAACCAAGTTAAGTTTCATCAAACTTGCAGGCGTATGTTATGAATCCATTATACCCAACAGTTTAGGTTTGAGAAATTAAACATACCTCACCATCCTATTCGGATGTCCACTGCAGGAAAACACCATATTATGATTTTGGGGATGTGGGAAATCTTGGCCCATTCGAGGCCACTCTCTTTGGTGCATCTTTCTCCAAATTTGGGAGAACCGTAAATTTGAAGAGATTGTAAGTTGGAGAGGCGTCGTATGGCTTCGATAGAAGGCAGATGAGTCAAATTAGAGCAATTCTCAATATCCAGTGAATGAAGAGAAGAGAGGTCTCCCAACCACTCTGGCAAAGCTTCCGGGCCATTGAAGCTCCATAACGTCAATGACTTGAGGGCAGTGAGATGTTGCAGCTGATGTGGCAGAGACTTCAGTTTATCCCATCCATAAAGTGTCAAAGATTCAAGGGAGGCCTGGAGTTGATAGATGGAAGTGAGTCCTGGATATTCCTCCAACTCTGACCAGAAAGGACCGATTTCTAACTTCTCCAACTGGCTATTCCTACCCAGCCACTCCTCTGGAATGCTCCTTAGATTTTTGCAATTAGTAATCTTCAAAGAGGTAAGCGAACTTGATCTTCCAACATCTTCTGAAATAGAAATTAGATTGTCACAACTGACAATAGTCAACTTTTGGAGAGAGATGCAGGATTCCAGCCCTGACACACGAACCAGTTCTTTACACTGACAAATTTCTAATGTTTCCAGAGAGATCAACTCCTTCATGCTCAGAGACGGAGAGGACATACAGCACCATTGAAGGCCCAAATCCTTTAGAGAGCTGCAGGAGCCCAGCCCACTTGGGATAGATCCTAATCCTTCTAATCTTAAACTTCCAAGAGAAAAGAGCCGTTCCATACTTGGAAGAGTCACCAGATTCGGACAACCACGTATCTCCGCTTTTGAGAGCTTATGATGAGATGAAAACCCACTCATTGACCAGGTCTTTAACTTTGGAAAATTGTCAACATACAAATCCTCAAGGCAAGGAAAGATGGTGGTGCCTTCTATTTCTGCCCATTCCTCTAGGATTTTCATGTCCCATATAATGAGTTTTTTCAAAGCTGGGAACAATATAATTGATTTTTTGTCACCACAACTGCTACTTGTCACGTTGCTTCTGTCATGACAAAACTTGCTGCCCATACGTTTCACCTTTGGCATTCGGTTTATTTCAAGATGCTTGAGCTTAGGTATAAATCCCAAACTCAGAATCTCTACACATTCATTGCAGTCATATAACTTCAAAGTCAACAGATTGTTCAGTGGAGAGGAATCGCCAGAAAAATTAACACCCATCTCCAGCCGCGACGGAAACTTTTCTCCCTTATAACCTTCAATTTTCAAGTGTTTCAAATTTGAGGGAGGCTTTAGACCTTCCAAAACCTCATAATTGCTATGGCCTTCTTCGTATCTATCCCATACAAGTTCCAACTCATACAATTTTGTCTTCTTGTCCAAGTTTGCTTTGACGGCTTCTGACATAGATCTGGCAAAGTCAAGGTTGCATATTTTCAATGCCCCTCCAAGTTGACTTAGGCATCCAAGTTGGTCCAAGTTTGCCCTACTCACAACAAATAATGGCAAGGTTTGAAGGGAAGTTAAATGCCCAATCTCTCTTGGCATCAGCTCTTTGTTGTGAAAATAAAAATGTCTTAAGCTGATCAAATTTCTCATCTCATCAGACTTTTGCAGATAATAGCACCCCATAAGTCTAAGAGTCTGCAATTTGTAGAGTTTGAAAAAGGATTTTGGTAGTGTTTTTATATTGCTTGTTGAGATGTCAAGGTATTTCAAATGCTTCAATTTGCCAAGAATAATGGGCAACTGTTCTCCCCTTGCTCCCACCATTTTTAAAGCTCGCAAGCTTTTGAGATCAGATGCATTGGAAATGAAAACATCAACCTCTTCCAAGAACAAAGAATGTAATCTTTGGGCAACAGCTCTAGGAATGATTGGACGCTCCTTCTTGTCATGCTTAACTCTTAAATGTCGAATTTTAGCATCCTGGTCAATTATGCAACCAGCCTCCCAGGCAAAAGTATCACCTTTTGAAACAGACAACGCTAAATCATGCACTGTATCATGCATTTTGCAAAATCTGATATTCCCATATCCATCCATGTACACATCTTGAAATAAAGAGTTAGATAACAAATCACCGAAGTAATCATTACCAACGTCCTCCATTGTCATAGAACTTTCATTAAGTTGGTAAAGAAACCCCTGAGCCATCCAGAGTTGAATTAAATCATCTTTTTCAATGACAAAATCCTTTGGAAAAATTGAACAGTAAGAAAAGCATTTTTTCAAAGGAGAAGTCAAATGATTGAAACTTATTTTCAGAATAGATAAAATCTCATCTCCATCTCGTGATTTCAAATTCCATGCTTTATCATCTCTGATATTCTTCCATTCATCTGCACTAGTTTGACGGCTCAATGTTCCTCCAATGACACTAGCAACTAATGGCAAACCTCCACATTTTTTTGCAATATCCTGTCCAATAGCTTCCAAATCAGGAGTCACTGAAGTTTCTGTGGATGATCTAAGAAATTTCTCTTTTATTATCAACCAGCATACGTCATCTGGTAACCCCTCCATGTCATGGCGTTGCATAGGAACTGACTCCATTGCGGATGCTACCTTTCCACTACGAGTTGTTATGACAATAGAGCTCCCAGTAGTCTTCAGAATTTTTAACAAACAAGAGCTGAAATGTTCCCCCTTGTCAGGATCTTCATTCCATACATCATCAAGAATGAGAAGAAAAGTTTTATTCTCTAATTTTTTTGCAAGATCTTCAAGCAATGCATTAACACTAATTCTTGGAGCAGCACTACAACCAAAATGCTCTGACATCTCTTGCAAAATGATTTGATCATTGAAGTCCTCGGATACACACACCCAGGCCGCTAGATCATAGAGCTTTTCTTCGTTTGCTTTCCTGTATACTGATTTTGCTATTGTTGTCTTTCCAATCCCAGCCATGCCTACAATAGAAATGCCAGAGATGGGATGTTGACTCCTCCTCAAGTCACGCAACAAGCTAAGAATTCTTGAGACATCAGCTTCCCTTTCGAAGACTGTGGAATCATCAAGAAAAGAATCTGTCTTTTGATATTGCCTCGGACAAGTTTGGCCTCTCAATGAGACCACCAAGTTGATCATGCTAGCCCAGTCTTTCAAGTCATTCAACCGCTTAGTAATGTTGTTGATTTTGTCAGCCATACGATTACGAAACAAGGGAGAAAAGTAAACAGACTCAGGATTCCAGTGCCTACGACTCTTAACTTTGTTCTTAAGAACCTTGTACTCACACTGACCCAATGCATCCACTGCCTCATAAGCTATGTCTTTCAGCTTCTGTAGCCAATGCCTTATAGCTGGGTCACTTTCTTGCCTTTCCTCTGCATGTTGGATGACAGATTGAATGAGAATAAGAGAATCGCCAAGCCTATCAAGCTCCTCTCCCAAACCCACTGCAATTCCAATTCGTTTTTTAAGAAATGAAATTGTTTTCGAAACTGCCTCCTCAATGACAGGGCTGATTATGGTGAGGGCGATTTCAGCCATTATAATTGGACACAGAGGGAAAGATTGCAAACACAATTGAATTCTGAGACACAGAAAAACATGCAGAATAATGTTACATGAGCAGATATGTATATGGTGAAAATGAAATGTACAAGAAGATTGTGTAAGAATTTCATTTGAGGAACTTACAGGAGAAATAATTCAATATTTTGTGCTTTTTCACTGATTTCTCCTTTTCAAATCTAATTAAGCAAAGGCACGCCTTGTAAATTTGATATCAATACATAAGATGGAGTTGCAGAACAACTGAAAAAGAAATGAACAAATTACAAATTAAACAGAAACCAAAGAAATTAAATGTTTTTGACTAATAAGTATCGACGTAATGTTGTACTTTGAAGCAATAGAATAACATGGAGTATATATTTTTATATATCATATTTGACCCATGGAAAGTGAAAAATATAAAAAAATAAAAAAGGATTGCAGAAGCAATAAAAGAAATCAGCATCTCATGCTTTCAACAGTTTTGATACCACATAAAAGAAATTAAGAACATGTTTGGTACAGCTGGTGAGAAATCATTTTGTATTTCAAAATCTTCAGTTACACCAAACATTACAATTTGTGAAAAATACTACAACTTCTCACAAATTAGTTTTTTGTTCATTCATTGCAAATCTCAGAAGATTCGGTGCTTCTGTAGAAACCTCTCATTTGGGTTTTAATGAAATTAATGTATTATGCCTATTTTATCCTTATTTTTTTTATTTACAAAAACAGCATTTCTACAACAGTTTCTTTTCAACAGAACTTCTATTAAAAGTTCCAATCACACCAAATGGGCACTAAAGCACGGGAAAATAAAAAAGACCTCTAATTTAAAATTTGAAATTTGCTCTCATAATTATATTAGTTATATCTCTTAATGATATGACTTACATCTTACAATATCTCTATTATGATATAACTTTTTGTTATATATATATATACACACATGGTAGAAAATATATATTAGTTTCGATTCCCAAAATAAATGAGAATCCTACCTTAAACAATATCATTTTATTTAATTAAAATTTAATTCAAAATTTAGAAATCTACTTTATTAATATATAAATTTAGAAATTGACTATATTATAATATATAATTGATTTTTAAAACTAGATATCAATATTTAATAAAGTAGATTTTTTAATTTAAATTGGGATTTTGATTTTCAAATGTTGATTGAAATTTTTTTTTTAAAACTCTAATGTTTTTTTAAAAAAATTAAAATTGATATACACTATC